AAAATATATATAATTTTTTTTTGTTTAAATATATATAGCACCAAATTGCAAATAATCTATAACTACTGTCACTTTTCACATTGAACATGTGCTCTTTTATTAAATAAACTAAACGCTTTCATTTTAAGTTGTGAGTCTAGTGTTTTTGACCCTAAGAAACACTGATGCATTAATCAATAACAATAATCCACAGCTCCTCTCTCTGCTCCAGAGGATTTAAAAAATATATATCCCAATGCCACAAAAATGCATCAGTGATGTAGTTGAAATCTTGTCTCCAGAAAACAAAAAACTGAAACAAGCGGTATCAGTGACTGTGTGTTTGATGTGGCTCTTTGCAGTAACATAGAACAAATGTGGATCTTAACCTCAGACTAGTTGGCCACCCCTAGCTGAGAAGTAATTGGTTTATAAAAAAACACAATGGTGCTCTTGGAGGATATTCAGGTGATAAGGTGGGGGGGTGTTACCTTGGTTGGTTATTGGCTAATGGTTACACAACCCAGAAAAACATCTCGAAAGACATCACAAACTGGCCAAAATCTGATCAGCTGATTTTCAGACCGGTTTTTATATAAATGGATCAGGACAAAAAGAGAGAATCTTCGTACCGGAAACTTTCAGAATTCTACACACATGTACTTAAAAAGAGGTGAAAAACGGGATTTTGCATAATAGGTGACCTTTAACAAAAAAAATGTAAACAGGTGATACGTTAAAACACTTTTCTTCATTGTCCTCAAACTGTTGCTCCGGCATCCAGCCCGCACCTCCTATCAGTGTTTGCATTAGCACCGGTGCATTCTGGCCACTACAATGAGAGCCAGGCGGAGTCAACACAGTTATCAGAAACAGAGCAAACAGCAAGCAGAGGGCAGGTCCTGCAGCACGCACTGTGGGAGAGGGCAGAATAAATACATCTGTCACCAACACAGAGACTACCAATGATTATGATTTACGTCTCACAATATGAGGTTTTAAATCCAAGGTCTAATTGTCAGCTGCATTTCTTTGTCTCTTTGTGATGCAGAATATTATGCAGTGTGGAGCTTTTTGTTGGAGTAAGAAGTATTAGACTTAACATGATATATATTTCCTGTCCAATAGGAACCTTCCAGGCGGTGCGGGCCCTGATGATAGTGGGGGTGGTGCTAGGGGTCCTGGGGGCCGTGATTTCAATGTTCTCTCTCACCTGCCTCTCGATGACCAGCATGGCCGACACCACCAAGGCCAAGATGAGCCTCACCGCCGGCATCATGTTCATCATCGGCGGTATGGCTACAAATAAAACAATATCAGAATGTTCCTTTAAAGTGTGTTTCTCAAAGGAATACTTCACCCGTAAATACATAATTTGTCTATCAGTTACTCACCCAGTGTTGCTGCATTTCTCCGTGGTGAACGAAGAATCAAAATACCGTTTAAAAAACCATAACGGGTTCTTGTGTTTAGAAGCCAATCAATCAATCAAAGTTTATTTATACAGTATAACCCAATATCACAAATATTACATTTGTCTCAGTGGACTTCACAGTTTGTACAGAATATCAGTATGACAATACGACACCCTCTGTCCTTAGACCCTCACATCGTACAAGGAAAAACCCACAGTTTAAAGGGGAAAATGGGAGAAACCTCAGGGAGAGCAACAGAGGAGGGATCCCTCTCTTCAGACGGACAGACGTGCAATAGATGCCCGTGTGGACTAAATCGAAGAGATAGATTTACCTTTTACAACATAGGTAGACCAAATGTTTGGAAATGCATGTTTCTGTAATAAGAAGATGAATCCACGAGGATGTCAACAATCCTGTGGGAGCCATCAGGGAGGTAGTGAGGTGAGAGTCAGGCAGGACCGCAGAGACAGGTTCAGCCACGACTCAGGATCCACGACTCAGGATCCGCGACTCAGGATCCACGACTTACTCAAGTGTCACTTAACAGCACCAAAGGGCTCCAGAAGTTCTGAACCAAATGAACATATATATTTCCTTGTCCATCTTCTGTTTAATAAAAGAGCTGAGAACACTTGTTAAAAAAGTAATCTGAGGAATTGTACAAAAGCATAAAAAACCTTGAGGAATTCAGTAAGACAGTATTAGTTTAGAATTAAGTATTAAGAAGGTAAACGTGGGCTGCGTTTAACAACAACAAAACTACATCAAAACACACGTTTCCAATGTTACTAAGTAGATATTGAGTATCTCCATTTGATGCAACTTTGTACTTCTATACATCTCAGACAGAGTCACATGTTGTACTTTTGACTGATATACATTTATGGACAGCTGCAGTTACAGATTTGCTATGCCCTTCCTGTCATGAGAAAAACAAAGCAGAAGTACTTTAGTACATTTTGCTGATGCAATTTACAGACTTTTAGTAAAGTAAGGTAGGACTTTACTTGTACTTGAGTATTTTTAAATGTGGTATTATTACTTTTATTTTCTAAATACTTCATTAAGAGCGGTGGAGTATAATCCAAGACTGATTTATCCACTCATAGGCTCAATACTATAATAGATAATAATAAGTAGTGAGCACATTGTGTATAAGTGAGGCATTGAATATATTGGTCATTAGAGATGGGAAGTGTTCCTTTAAGCCGACACATTAACAGTTTCTATGAAGTACATGACTTCCTGTCCCTCCATGCTCTTCTCTCAGGTGTGTGTGGCATTGCAGGAGCTTCCATCTATGCCAATCAGATCGTGGCCAGCTTCAGGCTCTCCACCAACCCCAACTACGGAGGCAACATGGAAGGAGGGATGGGGGGAGGGATGGGGGGAGGAATGGGAGGGATTCCCAGGTATGATGATTATATTGCTTGTTTTTTCATATCATCCATATTATTCTCGCTCTAGACTAAGTTCATGTTGTCTGTCTCCACAGATACACATTTGGCCCCGCGCTGTTTATAGGCTGGATCGGAGGGGGCGTCCTGGTTATTGGGGGCATCCTGAAGTCCGTGGCCTTCAAGGGAATGGTGAAAGATGAAAAACCACAGTGAGTCCCCCACAGATTGATCATCTATAGGTGCCTCTTGAATACATTTGGTTTGAGTGTGTGCTTTTGCTTATACAAACAACAACAATGTTCTCTTGTTCCTCAGTTACCCGGGGGTAGCGTACAAGCCTCAGTCCCGCACCAAAAGCGCTCTGCCTGATCACAATTCAGAGGGAGCCAAGAATTATGTGTAACTCCTACCCTTCAAGCACCAACATGTTATGTTTGCTGTTAGCTTTTCACATGCAGCATTGTTGTGGGATTTTATTTTCTAGATGCCTTTTATGTGCATACAAATATGTCTTGATTGGATTCAATATCTCTTATGTTGTAACAGCAGTTCAAAATCTATGGAAGCCATCCCGCCAGTTAAAATGAAAAGAATAAAACCATGAAAAAAAGGTATTTTTTTGGTGCTGGATACAAAACTCTAGCAACAAGAAGTCTGCACTCTTTGAAAAGCTTCCAGCTAATGGAATTGTGAAGATCTTTTGTAAGATTTTCACATTTTAAAAGTCATTTTCACAAAAATGTCTCCATGGTTTCTATATTTTTACAAATGCTGAATGTAATTGAAGACTTTTTTTACTTGAGTGTTGTTAAATCATTTGATTTGTATAATAATAAAAGACTAATTTGTGAATGATGTGGTTTGAATGATTGTAATAATTTACCTGATTATGAAGTTGAAAAACTCTTGTAGTTGATGTTCGATTTATTCAAGACCTATGTTCAAATTAGAGTAACAGATCTAAAGACAGCATGCAGTTATTGATGATCAAAAAGCACTGTTCCTGTCAACTTGCAGAAGTTACAATCCGTGTATCTACCGTCCAATTGTTTTTCTTTATTAAACACGTAAACGGAAGAGCGTCTGAGAGGCCTTTTTGCTTTTTGCCTTACTAAATGGTCTAATGGTCCTTGGAGTGAGGGGCGGGGCCAAACTCACGGAAGTGATTTCAAAACAAAAGCACTCGTTTGCTAAAATCTATGGAATGCCATTTAAGCCAAAATTAAATAAATAAATACATAAATAATTAAATAAATATATATATATATAAATATGCCTATGAAATAAATTCTGAAATAAATAAATGAGGCAATAAATATACACATGTACATTTAAATACACATTTATTTATTTCATGGGACTTTTATTTCATGACATATTTATTTATTTCAAGAGACTTTTATTTCATAATGATACATTTATTTATTTCAAGAGACTTGTATTTCATAATGACACATTTATTTATTTCAAGAGACTTTTATTTCATAATGACA